TATATATATATATATATATAAAAGCAACTCTGTTACAATGCCACAGTCATACATAATTTCTATTTGCAATTTCACTTTTTCGGTTCAGTGGGTGTTATTGATGGTGCTGGGTTAACCTTATTGCTGATGTTTCTGGGTTGGGCTGCGTTCACAGGAGAGCAGGAGAGTAAAGATGAGGCTGGTGGAGGATAGTGGCAGCAGTAACACCAGACGGAATCGTCATAAAAAGTCCAAATGTTTAACCTTTCTTCTGCCCTCCGTGACAGAATTTACAACTGGATGTTACGAAGCTCCCTCACACAAGGAGAACGTTGTTTACATTTGCAATAGAGTATTAAACAAACCATGCATTTTATTGCTACATACTTTACATTGCTATAATAATTACATAATTGTTTCGTTTTTTTCCTTTGTCGGTGATATCCGTCTACCGTTTGCCTGATTCCATGTGAATGCAGCGTTAGCCTTTGTTGCTACCGGGTTTAGCTCACTCCCGTTACAAGTTGTTGTTTGTGTTGTCTGTCGCTTACAAGGCTAACAGGTTTTTTTTAAATGGCGATTGCAGATGCTGCTCATGTGTTCGTCCAATCTCCGTACACTTACGTCACTCATGGTTCCTCTTGTGCTTGGAGAGTACCAACTCTGAAATGGGAGCTAAAAAAGTCCCTCAGAACGGTGCTCTCTAAAAACTAGTAGTTCTTGAATGGACACAATAAAAATGTGGCTTCTTAGAACAATGAAAGGGTTCCCCCGGATCGATAACGCCTATTATCCCATTTATCACGAGTACTGACCTGATTACACCGTGTTGTGGCCTGCTCTTTGTGCTTAATTACTTCTTTATGCATGGCTACGCTTCTCCACGTCAAACAGTCCAAATCACAACTCTGCAGTCGCTGATTCCAATCGCCTTCATTGGGTTGATTTAATCACACTTTCAAAGACTGTACCGATGCCCCGCTCCACATAGCTTTTCTCCATGTTTGCTGAAAGACAAAAAGCGGTGACTCAGCCCCCCACCCCCCTTTCCTTCTATCACAGATCATTTCTCAGAATCTTCGATTTGCACGTCCAAAGCTAAATAAACTTGCAATTTGAAAGAATATAAGTTGTAATCAACACAAAAAAATGTTTGTAACGTTCCAGCTCCAAAAGCAAGTCCTATCTACCTGCTCTGTCCTTCCTCTACAGCGTAGCATGGACAAGCTGTCACTGTTGATTCTATACTAGAGCTGATCCTTTGCTGCAGACCATTTGCTTCGTCTTTTAAGGAGTATTATTCCAGAAAGACGAGGACGTAATCACTTCCACCCCAGAGGGACTTTTAATATACATGACATGCAGAAAGAAGAAAAGAATTGTAACGTTGATATAATCTTGGATTTATAATCCTGTTTCCAAGCTCTAAAAAGTGACAATACCACCATGGACTTTTAAATCTGTCCTAACCAGATGATAGCTGTTCTAGCCACATGATTACTAGTCACAGAGTGCTTTATTTAAAACCTACTCTTAAAATGTTATCTGTTATCATGCAGAAGCTCTAGCTTGGTCTTTTGGCGGCATCTGTGAGAGAAGGATTTCCCTTCTCATGCCTGTGTGCCTCGTCTCCCCGAGGGCTTGTTTGGGATATAGCTAACTGCATCGCTTCTTCCACCTTTTAGCGGTGGGTAACATGGAGTCGAGCAAGAAGACAGCGTTTAATTATTGATGCAGTTTTGCTAACATGTCAGAAAACATATTTTTTAGGCTCAGCGGGCCAAATGTTACGTTCACTCTGAGGAAGTATTCCCTGTTTAAAGGAGATGAGGACAAGGGGAACTTAGCTAGTTATTCCAGTCTGTCTTTCTGTGTGAACACACACATTCAGTCAGTCTCTATGTGTTCACAGTCCTGTACTTATTACATAATGAGGACCACGCAAAACTGTTTCTAACCGATAGAGTGACGACAGCTTTTGAAAGTGAGACGTTTTGGCCGATCCTCACTTCTTCAAAGGCCTGTTTGAGGGTTGAGACTTGGTTTTAAGGTTAAGGTTAGATATATGATTAGGTTTGGGGTTAGGCATTTAGTTGTGATGGTTGAGGTTTGAGTAAGGGGCTGGGAAATGCAGTATGTAAACGAGGGTCCTCACAAAGATAGAAGTACAGGAATGTGTGTGTGAGTGTGCATGTGTCATGCCTTGGGGTGTGAAGTGGTGGCATCCACATCAACAACAGCTCCACAAACACTATAGCGTTATGTAATGGTGTAATGTGTTTGGATTGATTACATGGAAACACAAGCAGCACAGACTACATTTGAGTCATTCGCGCTCAACATGTTCATTTATTTGTTTAGTGATTAAAAACAAAGTTCAAACTAACAGCAAAAAGGAGCTCTGCTGTTTGTCGGTATGTAAACAGTTAAAAAAAAAATACAATATAAAAGAAAGCAAAACCTGAGGACATGGAACAACGAAAACAAGAACACATCAAAAATAAACCTTTATTCTACTGTAGAAAAACTGTATGCTGCTCTCTGAAACAAAACCATTCAAATTCACTGTAATCCTTGGAAATCATTATATACAGCTTATAGTGTTCATCGATACAAATTCTCACTGGCAGTTTCATATCTGGCTTGTTGTCATTAAACTAAATGAATAGTATTTATATTATGTTTTTATCTCCGCCAGGAGAATCATGTGTTTTCTTGCGCGTGTCCGTGAGTGTGCATCCCTCTGTCTGTCCACAGCTGTCCACAGCTAGTCTCGCATTCTGCAGCAGCAATCTGCATGTTATTTTGGGTGGGCAGTTATGGCTGAATTCTCAAGGACCTCTCGTGATTTTGGTGACTCACAATTCCTTAAAACAAAAATAATTACCTGTTTTGTACTGCAACTACTCACATTTATTGTTTTGTCTTGTAAGGTGTTTTTGGCTAACTGCTAATCCTTTTTTTTTTTTTTTTTGGCAAGATTGTACGACGTATCCTTTCCGACTAGCTGATTGCTTGCATACAATACCGCTTGTTTTTGAGTTTGAACGACGTGTGGTTGATGGTGCTTCCTGCACCTTTCTAGTCATCGAAAGGCTTTTGTAACATGGTAACTGTGTCATTACCCCAATGATGTGGGATTAATGAAAGGCTTGATAATCCGAATATTATTGAATTGAAGTATTGGTCAGCCATAGTATTGTTTATGCTTTTTTGAATTCTGCCCTCACATAAGAGGAAAATAGTTTTCACAGTCGAAATGTCTATTTTAGTGTCCCGGTAAGCCATGACAGAGCAACAGTGAGGCAGCATGCACAATACCAGGACCCTGAATAAGAAGCACATGATGGAATACATTCATTTTATTATTTACACCTGTGAGATGTGGAAATGTATTAAGAAGGGCCTACTTTCTGTGACTTCAGGTGACATACAGCAGCTCCTTTTGCCCACTATATTCCAACGTTTCCCACACGAAGGTTCCCACAGGTCGCCCACAGGTCACCCACAAGGGACAAACGTCCCATTCACGGGTGAATAATTTGGCAACTCGACAGAATTTCATAGGTATTTAATGAACCGCTAAGGGCATTTGGCCTCAATCCACTGTTGTGTTTGCACTGCTGTTAAAACAAGCCGATGCAGTCGCTCACCTGAAGGCTTCACTCGGTCCAGTCCAGACCTGCTCTGCTGGTCAATGTGTTCCCTGTCCCCGTGTGAATCGGGACGCCATTGGAGTCCCGTAAAAATGTGCCAGGCCCCCGGTTAACGCACTCCGGGGCTGCACTCTGGAACCCTGGAAACACCCTGCGGTACACTACTCTCTGTGTGGGTCATGTGCTAACACGCTCCCCTTTTGCTTTGTCCCTGGAGGAAACGGCGTCTGGAGTCTGTTGTGGTTACAGCATTAGGAGTGGATGCTTGCAGACCCGATGTGTTTTCAGTTTGTTTGTTTGTGCCCCTTTGCCACTGGACACCCACGAACATCTGGCTTTTGTCTTCAGTGGGAGAGTTTACAATCGGCATTCATTCCAAGGACAAATGACTCAGCAGTCACGAGCATTTATCGGCTCCAGACTTGACACGCTACCTTTCTCCACTTTTCCGGCACAAAGTAAATATATCAGAAGTCTAATCAACAGGGTTTTAATTTATTAACATACAAAACATACAGGTAATATGCTCTCCTCAAAGCCATCAGACTCCAGTCAAGCATTTTAACTCGCTGATCTTCTAAACTAATGTTGGTGGTAAAAAGGTATCGGGTGTACCTTTTAGAGTCTCACCTTTCTCCCTCTTCCACACATTTACCTTCTCCCCTCTTTTCTCA